GCTAGGCTAGGGTAATCCAACTTAAACTAAAACTCCTAATGGTAACACAACTCCTACTTAAGAAGATAAGACAAGGATAAAGGATAGGATAAGATAAGGGATAGGGATAGATAAGGATAAGGTAAGCTGGCGGCGAGTTGGCTTGACGTGTCCAGATAAGGGTGGACCCACCCCTATGAGCTGTCGTGTGGGCCCCGCTCTGTTGCTGCTGCCGGGTGCGTGCGTGCAGCTCATGGTACCGCTGCCGGGCAGTGCGTGTTGCGTGCTATCGGTGCGCACTGCTGCCTGGCGGTGCGCGTTGCGTGCTATCGGTGCGTGCTACTGTGCGGCGCTGCCAGGCGGTGCCTGCTGTTGTGCGGCCTGCCGTGCGTGCTGCTGCCTATGACTGCTCCGCAGTGCGCTGCCGGATGGTGTGCCCATAACAGGATGTGGCTCTTGTACTGGATGAGGATGCACCATCAGTAGTGATAGCTTTAGTTTCTTGGTATGCTTTAGTTTCTTTCAATGATCACACACCAACTCCCTCTTATCGTCCTTCTTCATATCCTTCTCCTTGTCACCCCTAAACTTTGGTTTCACTGCTGCTAAGGTTGATTCCAAAGGCTGATATTGCAACATAACCTTTCTTATACTTTCTTCATTATGCACTAAAGAATAGGCTTGAGACAAGGTCACACTTTCTCTAGTGAGGAGTTTTGCCTCACAATATCATATTCTAAATTCAGACCAGCTAGGAATTCAAGAACCCTATTGGTCTCAACCTGTTTTCTGTAGGTTTGTGCATCCTTCTGACTTTCCCACTCAATTGTCTCTAGGTGATCAATTTCATGCCACAAGGATTTCAAAGTTTCGAAGTAAACTGAGACCAGTTTCTCTCCTTGCTTAAGATTGTTTACTTCACATTTTAGCTCATAAGCCCTAGCAACATTAAATGGTTGGGAGTAGGTGTCTTTCATGATGTCCCAAATCTCCTTAGCAGTTTTTGCCCACAAGTAATTTCGGTTGATCTGAAGCTGCATGGAATTGCATAGCCAAGCCATGACCAAATAGTTCTCCTGAACCCATTTGGCATATGTTGGGTCTTCCTTGGCTGGTTCCTTTACATCCCCCATCACATAGCCTAGTTTCCCTCTACCCCTAATAGCCATCATGGCTGATTGACCCCATTCCAAGTAATTTGATCCATCAAATTTGACAGTGGTAATCTGAAAAGTGTTTTCAATCATGTTTCCAGTACCACCAGCCCCCAAAACACTTTTACCTTGATTCTTTAACCCAATTCCTGCCATCTCTATTAAGAAATTTATCAAAAAGAACCCTTTTATGCTGAAACAAATGTAATTATCACCCAAAAATTGCTAACAGACAACTTGGAATGTTGAAATAGGTCTAACAATCACCCAGAAATGTTGAAACAGATCTAATAATCTCCCAGAAATTATTATCACTCAATCTGGAATGCTGAAACAAGTCTAACCGTTACCCAGAAACTGATAACAGTCAGAATACTAGGGTTTAAATCTGAGAACTGATCGTAGGGTCAGAAAAACCCTAAAAAAGATCCAGAGAAATTAGAAAACTTCCAACCGCTCCATCTAGATGACTCTAATCAGATTCTGATTGATGTCGATCTCAAAAACAAACCAAAACTTACCCAGAACAGGCTGACGCCACCTCCAATCCTCAGTCTGAACCCTAATCTTGAACGTCCTTCCTTTTCTCTGATTCTTCCTAATCACTAGACACTTTCCAAGGCTCTACAATCCCTTGGGCATCTTCTGCACTCTACTAGCAATCTCTAAGAACCAGCCGATTGACCAATCTTTGCTAAAACTTCCAACCCTAGGAAGTTCTCATGCAGTCAGCCTGACTAGACTCAAATGAGAAGCCCTAGGTTGGCTCTGATACCATCTTGTCTAGTAAAGACTGTAATCAGTCTTAATTTAGATGTGAATTCAATAAGAAAGTATACAAAGAATACAAGAGTAATAAGAGAATAAGAAGAGAGAAAACGAAAAGGAGAGAAATCAGAAAAGAGTGTGGGTCGTAACAAGAGTTGCCGCTCCACTCGGCTATTTATATTAATACTTCAAAACATGGTAAAATTCCAATACTGCCCCTACTGCTTACATAAGCTAAAAGATAACTGAAATAACCAACCAACTAACACAGCTAACATACTAACAGCGACATAAATAACATAAAGAAACATGCAGCAATGGGGACCACAAATAATCATATTATTATTCAACATCTCTACACAAGACATTTCAAATTAAGCTCACAACATTGTCCTACAAGTGAGAAAGAAAAGGAAGAAATAAAAGGTGCGCCTTTTGTATCAGCGTGGGAAGTCTGATGTATGCCATGGTATGCACAAGGCTTATCTTCGCTCATGTTGTTGGAGTTGTAAGCAAATTTCTCTCAAACCCTGGCAAAGAACACTGGGTTGTGGTCAAATGGATTCTCAAATACCTCCAAGGCACTAAAGGCAAGCCTCTGTTGGATGGTTACACAGATGCAAACATGGGTGGTGGCATTGACTCGAGGAAATCAACTATAGGCTATCTAGTTACTGTTACAAGAGGACCAGTCTTGTGGCAATCCAAGCTTTAGAAGTGTGTTACCTTGTCCACTACCAAAGTTGAATTCTTTGCCATCACTGAGGCAAGCAAGGAGTTGTTGTGGACAAAGAGATCCCCTTACAAAAATTGGTCTGAAGCAAGAAAAAAATCATTCTTCACTTACATAGTTAGAGTACCATCCATCTCAACAAGAACTCCACTTTCCATTCAAGGTCCAAGCACATTGACGTTGGATATCATTGGATTCACAATGCTCTAGAAATGAAGCAACTGGAACTTAAGAAAATTCATACTAATGAGAATGGATCAAATGCAATGATCAAGACCATGATTGTTGAGAAGTTTGTCATTTGTAGGAACAAGGCAGGTTTAGTAAAGCCTTCCTCATGAGTCAAGAGGGAGAGATTTATTGGGTTTTCCCTCCTCATAAGATGAGTTAATTATTTGCAATCTCATGGCCTTTCAACCTCGCAGCCTCACGAGGTGGTGATTTCGTGGCCTCACTAGCTCCATGGGATAACGACCATGCAGCCCCTCGGGTGATGCCATGACAGTATTGCTAGCTCCACCCCATTGCTCCTCGAACCTCACTAGTTGTTCGACCTCGCATGGCATTCGGCCTCGCACCTCTCCTTTGATCTTGCAAGCTAGCCTTGCCCTCCAAATTTTATTTTCTTTTTGGGCTTTGCTGATGGTGATTCGTGACCTCAGGATTCTTGGCACTCTGCGGGTCCACAACCTTTGGTATTCCAAGGACCTCATAACTCTATGACGGGATGATTAAAATTGTTTTTTGGCACACTAAGTATCTTCAATGATTGAAAGATGAATCTTTACCCTCACCTATTTATTGATGCATCCCTGTTCATTTAGAAAAGCAAGTGTGAGGTGAGCTTGTACCAACTACTTGTAATCAACGTAACAAGTGAACACCAAGGTCACCCGCTATAACAAAGAAAAAGAAGAATTCATCTTGTTATGTTATCCTCTGGTAGAGACTAGAGAAGTTGTAATCCAACATTGACAAATAGTGGAAGTTTGTGTCTCGTGCTTTTTCCCTTCAAGTTTCAGAAAGGTTTTCCATGTTAAAAATTCGTGTGTGTGTGTCTGCTTGTTTTCTGTATTTGTTCTACTTACTTATCCTCTCCATCTCGCTAAGTTCATTATTTGCTTTCGAAATCACTCACTAACTCCCACCAACAACAAGGGACCTCCATTATCACAAATTTGTTTTCTTTGTATATAGTACCATAACCATGTTTCAGGCACATGCTGACACGTCTGCAATGCTAAATCTATTCCAGGTTTTCTAAAGTCAGGTCAGACAAAGAGGAGTATTGCTAGAAATCACAGCATGTCTTTGTGCTTGTTAAATACAACTATTTACAATATTAGTGAAATTACCAGTTACTCATAAAAAAGATTGTAGACAAGAAAGTTTGGGAAGGGAAAAAATGTGAAAGGTGGGATTTGTCTTGTTCTAAACTAAGAAGGCTTCGTCTAATTTTAAACTAACAGCATTATTGATTGAACACTTTTATGGAACCAAGGCCATGACCCAGCTGGGGGTGTTGAAAAAGTGGGCTCATATACATATACACACTGAAACAACAAAGAACTGGGAAACAGTTATGCAATCTCAACTTTTGCATGCTTCAGGTCATGCAACCGGGTCCTCGGATAGCGTGTTGTGAAATTTTGTCATTCCAATTCTAAATTTTAGCAAGTAAGATGCCCCAGGGAAACCATTACTCACTAACCGGCGCCCGAGATTGACAATCAATAACCTAGATCAATTAATGTTTTATACTTCTATAGAATGAGACTAAAGAGTCAATACTTTCTTTTCTCGTTTCAATACTAGCAAGTCAATACTAGGAACTTACAATTAAATGCTTCAATATATTGGTGGGGTAAGAACAACTGTAACAAATAGAGAGCAGGCAAAGAAATCTAACAACCAAACGAAATCCCACTGAAACCTAAAGCTACGAACAATTCAACAAAAATAGAAGTTAAGCAGCAGTAAGCAAGTGCCGGGCAGAAAATACAAATCCAGATAGACAGTAAGAGAAAGACAAATTCACATTTAGTAATGCACAAACGATATTATTAAGGCGAATTCAATTGAAAATCACAGAACAGATCAAGATCGAAAAGAAAACGTTAGATAGGCTAGACAGAGAAAGAGAAAAGATCTGAAGTATAACTACAAGCAGTAAAAGAAGAGACCTTATGGAAATTATAAAAGAAAAAACTAGAAGAAGGGAAATGATCGAATAATTAGAGAGTAGTAGCAGTACTAGTAGTAGTAGTAGCAGTAGTAGAGTAGTAGTGGTATGAGATATCTACAAAATTGCAAATGATTGTCGAAAGTAAATGAAGGTGTGATTTTCATGGTGAAGAGTGGATTACGGGATATGTGCTCGGGAAGTCGTAACGTAAATGATTGGTATGTGGATCTTCAAAATCTCTACCTGTCGACTCGAACCCACCAGTTACCAGATGTGCTCTTTCTCTCTCTCTCTCTTTCTCCCCCTCTCTCGCAGCTCGCCTTGACAGATTCTGGGTTCTGACGGGGGCTTGTTGGTCCGTCGTGTGCTCTGAAAAACAAATATAAATAAGTAACCAGAATCAAAAGGGTAAACGGAAGAAGCAATTATAGTACTTCAGTTTCAAATACGTGTACGAAAGCTGGTTTCTCCACCCGATCCTGCGTTGAAGCGTTGAAGCGTTGAATCGATTCATCGTCAGAAAAGCAGTAGGCAGTAGCAGCTGCATTTTAAAACTAACTTGACCATCTTGACCTACCTAGATTTTCATAGTTTCCAACAAATGGACCGCTAGGATTATCCGATGGATGTAGATAATTTCTGTTGAGAACATGCGAGTGGGACCCTTATCAAATGGCAACCATTTTTTTTTTATATTGCCACTTGTCAGAGTGACGAAGATGCTTAGCAAAGAAAGGAGTGAAAAAAATAAATTTAAATAAGGCTTCTGCTACGGACTATTTCTTATTTTTATAATTCATACACAAGGTCCAAACACCACAACCTGGTTATGGGTTATTGAGTTGGTGTATTGTGACATATGTCCTACTTAGGAGGACAAAGAAGCTGTCCTCCTTAGTTTTGTAAGACCATTGGATTAGGACTTTTTTTTTATCTTGATTGTTGACGGGTATATATTGACTATTAGACTGTTGGGCTGGGCCCCCTTCATCCGGTCACTATTTGTATATTGGTGTATTTGGGTTGGCAAAGTGGTATCGACTCAATTGGATCAGGAGAGTGCCTTGAGAAAATGAGTTAATAGCCATCCTTTTATAGTCTCCAGACTCTCCAGATGTAAAATGTAAAGTCGAATTTCGTGGAGAGTTGTTGGACGTGTGCAATGACGTAGTAAGGAGTAGGGTAGGGAGCTCATGGGCCTAAAATATATAAGGTTCAATAAACTAAATTACCTGGTCCACTATTTTCACCAAGTGAGACAAGAATAATACGTGGGTGTGTCGTTTTTGTTATTGAGATAATAAACTACGGAAAAGAACGGATTTGTCTAATGCAGATTTCTAATTTACACCAGAGGGTTATAAACATTCAAATGAACCGATACCCACATTCTATGCACCCACGCCCGTCTGAATTGGCATCAATTCCGATCTAACACCTACCCTAACCGTATATTGAACCTATAAATTCTGACACTAGGGGTATCAGTCATTCTCCCAATAAACTATTAGTACAAGTGTACAATACAGAATAAGAGTCTGTTTGATTCTTAATCAGAACCGGAATCGAAATTCATTAAAATTGTAATAGCTTATTCCTTCATTTATTTGTTTGGCTCAAATAAGAATAGGAATTGGTTGGAATGGGATTCTCATTTTCTAAAATGGGAGAAAGCCACTCTATCAGGAATGGGAATTCAATTCCACTTCCATTCATGGTTGGAAATTGGAATTAAAATGTAATATTTCAATTCCAATTCCAGACCCTTATTACCACAAACCAAATACACCCTAAATGTTTTAATGAGATGGAAATATGGGATAAAGCCAAAGCCATAAAGTGTATCCTAGTAATAAATTTCCAGCCCAGTCCAACCCACTTGTCAGTTGGAGAATTAGCCATCATCGGCCAGCACTCGGTAGGGGCACCATTTACCACTTTCCAAAGATTGTGATATGAACTGAAAGTCTGAAGTGAAATCAGCAAATTTTAAATATTTGCTTGGTACGTTTTCCTGCTGCCTTCCTGAATATAATTGAAACTATTATAGACTAATATCAAAGAGTTTGCAGAGAAGTATTCTTGGTTTGCAATGGCATTTTTTAGGAGGTTGCATGAATGAAATGAGTTTGCAGAGAGGTATTCTTGGTTAATTTGCAATGGCATTTGATGTTGTAATAGTAAGAATTTACCATTGCAAGCTGAGAATGACTTCTAAATGGATCAAAGAAGACTAACAAGGTCTAGTAACAACGCAAATGCTGATGGTCTGCTCTTGGATGTTTATCTTAAAATGGCCCAAAGATGGTGGAAATGATGGGGCTCCTAAGAGCTGAGAGTTAAAACTTTGTTTAGGCTCGGTTTGGAAGGAGTACAAATGCATACAAAATAATATAAAATGTAATGTTTTGTACTCTACAAATTTGTATTTATATTTGTACTCCTTCCAAACTGAGCCTTAAGGCTATGTTTGGTTTGAAGGAAAAGGTAGGGCTTGAAGGGAAAGATATCAAAAACTATACAAAGTTTGTAAAGGTTTTCTTGACTTTCCTTTCCTTTCCTTTCCTTTCCTTTCCCTACTTTTTTCTTCAAACCAAACATAGCCTAAGAATAAGGACCTTGCTTGTAGATTTCTACATAAGGATACTATATAGCATGCACTTTTCTTTTCTTTCTTTTTTTACGAAGCAAATAGAGCTGCCCATTGGCCCCTATATTCAATTCATCCACTTCTGCTGTAAAAGTAAATATTTCAATTCATCTACTTCTACTGTAGTCTCTATATTCAGTTCAGCCACAGTAGTGACAACTCAGAACTCATATGTTCATATTTAGCTGTAATGGGTTTAGCACTGATGGCCTTAAATCTGAATTTTGATTCAGTAAATCTCATTTTTAGAACCCATTAAATGAGAAGGCACACTTATCCTCTGTGTTTTCACAAGGATATGCATTGATTTATCCTCTATAGGGTCCATGAATGGTAAAGAGTCAGATTGAATTAGTTGCAGGAGTGGACCTAAGTACTCCAAAATGGGTAGCTTTGAATTGTTAGGAATGCCCAAAATGGGTGCCGGTTTAAAAAGGATTCCACCTTTACCTGAAGAGTTGCAGCATTGCAACACATTTCTTGTGCAGGGCATTTTATTTTCCCCTAGATTTGTCTTTTGTCATTTACCTTCTTCTTCTGACAATTGGCCTAAATTCAGAGCTTGAGTGGTCTTAAACTGACCCAATTTGAACCAAGGTAGATTGTAATTTACTTATATCTGCTTTATGAAATTCAGGAGGTTACCTGAACAACATAAAGAACAAATCCAATAAGACATTGAATTGAACTAGTCCAATCCAGTCCAGGTTGGACCAATATTCGATCCATTGAATTGGACCAGTCCAAGTTGGAGAAATATTCAGTCCATTGAATTGGGACCAATCCAATCCAGTCCAGGAAGAACAAAGTTAATTCAGAATAAATTCAGTGGCCTTTAAAAGGATTGCTTACATTGCCTCAACCTGTGGATAAGCATGAAGTGTTGTGTTGCTTGGGTTTCTTACGTATATCTATGATGCTTTCTATGAAGAGTGCAATTCCATTATGTGAACATTTATTATTAGTTTACATTTTCATAAGCTATCCGTTTTGTATTTTACAGGTACTAGTTGACAGAGCATATATGGTGGAAATTTTGCATGAAAAAAGCTTCTTGCCAAGATCAACAAGATTGATCATCTCTAAAGTTGTAATTGTAAATATGATTCAGCCATCTTGACAAAGTACTATTTGATAAGCGAGGGATCTCCATCTGTAGTTATGAAAATCCTTGCTCAGGTCCTCGATATCCACTATTTGTATTAAAACAAATTACAGTGTTGATATGTAGAAAGAACAAATTTAAGCAAACATTTTGCCAAAAAGTTTTGATTCCAATGTTTCAGATTCTCTTCATTCTAATATATTTTTGTGAAATTTTTAATATATTTTTGTATTTTTTTATATTTTCTGGGTTTTTTATATAATTTTTGTTTTTTGGCATTTCATTCAGTTTGTATTGAATTGGATCCAGCCTGCTCCACTTACATTTAAATGGATTGGATTGGATTGGATTGGGTCCAGTCCATTTGTAAATGGAGTTATGTTTGATTTGATCCAATTGACGGTTTCAACCTGAACCTGAACCTGAAATGTTTTGGGTTAAGACCCCGTCTATACTTACACAAGTACCATCTTTTATGCTTGAATCCTATATAGTGGAAAATGTGTTTCCTGAACACCCCTGACATTAGCACACCCTTATAGCAATTTCCACGCAAAGTGTAAATAACTGTTTTGACTCTAACAATTTCCAGCCACAAAGACAATTGCCTATAAAACTCTTCAAGAGCTATGTGGCACTATTAACGTAGGACTATTTCTGATGAGGGGTGATTTGGCCCTCCAGTGAGATCATGATACATGATACCCACCTTAGTGCCATGTAGATAATGACTTTGAAAGCACTTCAAACACATTGCACCTGCTTCAACTACCTCAACCCCACCTTGGCAGGCCGACTTGTGGATGCCCCAGAAAGGTTCAGGTCAGCATAAGAGGCGACCTGCTTCCGCCCACCTGACTGAGACCCAGTTGGCAACCTACATGACGTGACGGGCGACCTCCTTCAGGATCATGTCGCCTCGTCAACAGAACTAACTCACATTCCGCTCGTTTTGAAGTCAACTAGATAAGTTCTATCACTTTACGAGGAATCTGACTCCGAGTACGAAACCACCTCCGAACGAGATGGGCCAGTGATCTCAGGCGCACTTTGTAAGGCCCATGGAACATCTATATAAAGGCACCCCATTGAGCAGAGAAGGTACATGCAATTTAGCATTCATACATTTCTTACTTTCTCGCTCTCTAGAATCTAAAACTCTTCACTAAGTTAAGCATCAAAGTGCCCACTCTGGGCACTTTGACCATTGTTTTCTTACAGCTTGGTCAGCTGACCTAGTCAACCCGTCATCCGAGTTGCTCTCTAACAGGGAGCACCAGAACGTGCACCATCAAATGGCATTGTCTGTGAGAACCGCTACATCAAATCTAAGTTCTCACTAATTCACTAAGCAGTTATCAATGGCATCCTCTAGCAACCACAATGCCAACAATGTTGACAATGTCCAGATGGATGGCATGACAACTGGGGGGCAGAATTAGCCCGTGCAAAAGGTAGAGAATCCTTCTGTCACAATCGGGCAAATCACCATCCCCCTGATGTTACCAAGCATTCTGGCTGCTATTGGGATTGACGATCGCCAGTTTTACGAGCTGGTGCAGTACATTCGTGGCATCGATCTATGGATGCAGAAGTAGGAAGGCTACTTCACAGTAATGGCCAAACTACAACCGTACTTTGGGGGATCGGTACATTCGTGGGAATAGTGCACAGAGATCGATAGATATCCTAGCAATGAAGTTCCCTACTGACTAAAGAGTGGGAATAGTGCACAGAGATCAGCTAAAGTCGGGCAAGTGCTACATAGTGGCCCTGAAGGGAAAAGGGAAGTAGGTCATGGACGT